CCACCAACAGCCACTGCTGACAGCGGTAGGCAATCTTGAGCAAGTTTCTGATTTACTTGTCCTGAACTTCATCCCAAGTAAACTTTACCCTCTGGCAAGCCCAGCAGACTCCAGAAGAGGTACATATACAGAGCATAAACAACACACATGTGGGCACAGAGAGATGTGCAGGAGGAGGGAGAGTGCACACAGGTACTCCTCTCTGCCACACCTGCAAGCCATGTTCCATCTGGGCAAGACAGGAGAACTTTCACAGTAGAAATTTAAGGCCTTTTCTTCAGTGAGGTGTCAGCAGCCCTGCTCTGGAAGGACTGCTGCTGCTGCCACATGCAAGCAAGAGTCAGCAGGATTCTTGCCTTCTTGGCATCCTGCAGGAACATGGCCTAATTCTCTGATTAAAAAAAATTCAAATCTGGCACCAAAAGCAGCACTATGTCCCCATTATGTTAGGTACCATCATGCACATAACTGCCATGGTCTCTACTCCTTGCGGTAAACCATGACCAATTGCCCCTCGCTCCAAAAATTGCAAAGCCTTTCCCTTTGCTCAGAGAGCTAATTCAGGTACCAGAGCTCACAGGAGCTTGAGCTCTTTAAGGGAAACTCCTCCCTTATTCCCATCCACCACCACAGCACCATGTCTTGCTGCAGCTACTGGCATATCCTGTCCAACCCCATCCCCCAATATGACTGCATTACAAACAAGGCTAGAAAGGCAACAACAAAATTTAAGGACTGCACTGAAGATGAGCAGGGAAAAAAACATACCCATCACCAAACAAACAAAGGGGACACACTCTCAGGTAACACCAATTTCTACTTTGCATTGAAGGTGGCTTCTTTCAACAAAGGAAAAAGAAAAGAAAGAAAAAAAAAGAAATGGATAGAGAAAATGCTAAAATAGAAAGGGGGTGAGTGACTAGAAAACTGAGACTGGGCAAATATAACCTAACAGCATTTGGCAGCCTTTCTGATGGCTAGACGTTGAAAGACTTAATGGCTTCAATCAGGCATAGATATGATATTTCATAGGTAAATAACCATTCCATGTCAAGCAAGCTTGTCTACAGCATAATAAAAGGAAATTCTAGGAAGCAAAACACAAGTTAAAAGCATAGACAGACATTCTGTTTACAGGTACATTTTACAAAAGAATGGTGTGAGTGTCTCTCTCTATACAGTATATATATAGATAGATATATATAAGCTAACTCGAGAAATTAGATATATTTGCTTGAACAGTCTCCTTACTCACATAGGTTACTGTAGCTCCAGCAGTTACCCATTGGTCAAAGAAATAAAATGCACAGATCATCAGTTTATCTATAGCGATACCAGCTAATTCAATTGCTGCTGTTCTAGTCAACTGGAATCAAAATAGTTTCAAATTTCCTGGCAGCTGCTGCCCTGCACTGCACACAATGATGTAAATGGATGCTTTCTGAGTATTATGAAACTGATGGGGGAACTGCAGTCTCATTCAGTCTATCGCAGGAGCTAAGGAGTCCACCTTGGCAGCTTGCAGGGGGAAAAAAAAAAATTCCTCCAGCAAGGCTGCCTGACAGTATGCCAGGAAGACGTCTGTGCTTAGCTGCCGTTTATTATAACCGCGTCCATAAAGGAAGAATCAGGCAGAATGGCGATGTTCAGAGTCATGTGCTGGTTTCAGAGCGCAGGACGCCTTATGGCGTTGCAGCTTTAGTGAGCTGGAAGCATTGACTAAGCAGCCCAGTCATTTTGCATTTTATTTCTCCGCAGCTCCTTGCGCCGATCACAAGCAGCCCATGGGTGAGCCTGCATGCAGCATCACGATAGTAACGTGTTCTTGGTACCAGCACTCCTTGCCACTATTTGTAAAAGGCAAATTAGGGCAAGTAAAAAAAATGTGTGCGTTAAGATGAAACAAATCTCTAGGTGCCAGAGCTTAGTGAACAAATCACAGGATTTATGGTATTTATGTCATTATGGCAGCCTGCCAGAGAGAAGGGTTACACGTATCTCCTTATCTTGCACTCCCTCAAGTTACAACTTCTGTGGTCACTAAAACTATTCCGATTGATAAAGCAGTGCCTGCCCATGCAGACACGGAGTGGCTGGCCCCTGTAAGAGGGGAGGGATGCTGCACAGCCTCTGGCAGCCTTGCGCAGCAGCCCTTTTTCCAAATGATGTCATTCTCCATGCCGTGATAGGTCCTGCCTGGCCAGCATAGCCAAAGCCAAGGGATTAACATACTGCAAGCACGGTGCTTTTGTAACTGGACTGCAAACATCCACATCGTACTGGATGCAGGGTTTACTGCAGCTTGCAGCCACTCCAGGCTTTTGAGCAGTTTGCTTGCCCCAGAAAGGGGAAGCGGAGCCAGGTGTTCATCCCTTCTAAAGTTACAGTGGCATTATGTAAATAAACAAGTCGGTGGAAATGAGGAAGCTGAGTGAAAGTGAGAGGGAAGCAGAGAGAAGAGGCAGGGGAGAGTTGCCTAGAAAATAAGCACTGGTTAAATGACTCTGTGCCTTAGAAAACACACAGGGGAGGTGGATGGGACCAGAGGTATAACAGAGCCCATGCAGATAAAGTGACTA